GAAGAAGAAATTCGGTGAAAGGGCGAAAAACTTGAACGTTTCAATGCACCTCTTCCAATCATTGAAACATTGATGAGTAAACAAATATTACATTAAAAGGAGGTGAAAATGTGTACGTGTTTCAGTATCTCTCTTCATTGCTGGGAAAATATTCATGGGTAAAAACACGAAAAACAAAACATCAACGATAGAAAATCGTGATGTAAAAATGAGTCAATTTGTTTTTTCTTCGATTGGCTATTTTCTGAGCCTACAGTAAGTGAGACGATTCGGGAATTTTGAAAAAATTAAGCTAGGCCCAAAAAAATACGCTTTTAACTATTTTCCTAGAATCCTAACAATTGAATCAGTGAGAACGAAAACACACCAACTCGGTACCTCAAAAATGCTCTCTTTTCACTAAGGACAGACAATTTTCATACAGGTTATTGAAGTTACCGTATCTGTGCCAACTTGAACATTTAAAGTTTCCTTAAATACTTGCTTTTAGGCAACACAAATATTTTTCTTCGACTAAATTCTTCACCTAATATGCAGTTTTGTGAGTGTCTCGATTATTTTCATTTTTTCGAGTTAGTGTCTTTTCATTCTCACTGCGATTCAATTTTCACTATTTAACCCCGGAAGACTTTTTAGAGCACAGATAACTAATTTTCAAAAGTTAAATCTCCTCTTTCTCCGCTTTGGAAACGGACACCCGTTGAGGAGAAGAGAGGCGTCGACTCATTTCCACTTGGGTCCCTCGCCGCTTCACAAGCAAATTTCGGATCTTTCAAACAATGGTAGCGTCAGTCGTCTTCGTTGACTTTACATAGGAATTCTTGGTGTATTTGTCGAAAGCAAAACCCACAGATGCACAAGCACGCTTCATGCTCAGCCTTCGTTCTTCCTCGGTTGTCAGCCGTGGCAGAGAAATCGGACAAAATTGCAAAAACTTGAAGGGAATATTTAATCATGAGTGTTATTTGTGAGAAACAATAGGACACGAAAAAGGTATAGATCGTTTTCGATAGTGGTTCGATGTTTCGTTTGGTTCAAAAGCAATAGGACAAAACCTCAAACAAAATTTTCAGGATTTCAGTTGGAAAAGCTGAAAATGAGAAAATTCCTAACTATTTCACCTTGCAATGCCATTTAGTACTCATAAGAATCAGAAATCCGTCAGAAAAACCCCGTTTCCTCAGATTACTCGATTGACTTTTGAGGCTATGTTTACATGTTGAACCAATCGATATCGATACAATCTCACCTATTTTATGTATCGATAACGATCTATGGAGGTTACTCGGAGCGCCAGTTCGCCTACAGTTTTCGAGGTAGACCAGAAAATATCCTAGGAGCAGCAGTGATTAAAATCAGTAAAACCGGTCAATATTACGGAAACTAAATGCAAAAAAACCATTGGCGTTTTCTGAGAGCTTAGGGGAAGTATAATGACACGAAAGACTATATGAGGATTATGAACATTGCTGATTCGCCTTCAATTTTAGAGGGAGGCCAAGATACATCCTGCATGAAGAAATAATTATGTTACATTTTCCCCTCCCTGATAGTCTACCCTTCGAAATTTGAAGTTTCACGAATTCAACCCCCTTCCCTTTTCCCCTTTACGCCTCCAGACCTATTTCAGAAGTCGATCAAACTGTTACTCATTTCTAAGAAATTTTATGCGTGAAATCCCTGGAAAATTGGGAATTATCGATGCATCAAAATGGTGGCAAACCATAAGCCGAAATCTAAACTGCAGGATTACTTTGAAGTTGAAAAATACAGGAGGATTATGTGATTAGGCAACCCGCAATCCTAGCTAATTTTAGCAAGTTTACACTTCGTAGCTGCTCCATCCAAGAGTGTGAATATGACTGAGGGAGATAAACAAAGGATTGTCCGTGTAGCAACATAGTACACGGATTCACATCGTTTTAGAACTACAATACTACAATATCCGTATAATATCATTGAACTGGTAATTAATTAAACTAAAAAAAAAACTCCGGCTGTGGGAGCCACACACTTACAGGCTATACAGACATTCCGTCAGCGTTCCGGGCTCAGAGGCCGAATATTCTGGGCATAGCAGCCGAAACAATCGAAGCTACGGCTCCAGCACCCGGAACTTTCGGCCTGTGAGCCCGTAACGGACGGTATGTCTACCTCTACATAGCCCGTAACTTTTCTTTCCAGTATGCATTATCTTTCAAAATTTTCCGAAAACGATCGCTTGAATCTTCTCAAGTCTCAAACCTCAGGTTAAAATCTACTTGAAAATCAAACTACTCAATAGTATTTAAGAGACGGGTCATTCTACCTAACAATTTGGGCATATTCTCCCCTACAGATCGCAGATCGTTCGATTAAATTACCCAAGCCATGAGCAATAAAATTTATCAGCATTCAGTCACAGACTCACCGAATCAACGCGTTTCCCAGAACCCTCGAGGAAGCCAAGACTCCCAAAAGCCCGGGACGCCTTCTGTAAACCTACCGCACCGCAAACCCTCAAGCCACTCGCTCATGATCTGACGTGCTCGCGCCAAGAAGAAACTACGCCCGAAGGAATTAAGTCAAAAGGAGCTACGTCCATAGGATTTGTGTGGCTCGTACGCTCCTTCTGATTCGAATCATTTGCACATAGGCCCTTTCAGCATAATCGTTTAAGCACACGCCGCGGCTAATGTGGCAATTCCACGGATCGTGCGCCTTCAACCGCTCGCCGTCTTATTCGCGCTAGTCACGAGGCTGAGGTTCGCCTCCGATAAGCCCCCCCCCCCCCNAAAGCTCCTTTAACCCCCTCCCGCGCCGTGCCCGACTTGACAGTCATTCAGAAAGTTGGCCCGATTCGTCTGACGAGAGCATTCGAGCGCCAACAATGTTAGGCATCCGAGAAATTTCGGAAAGCGAAACCTCGTACGAACCGTAGAATGATCGTTGGGAGTTGCGTCTTTCCGACTGAGAAGGGCGGGGCGACGGGATACACGTTCCACTCGCGCTTGCGGCTCGCATTCGCAACAGCCGGCGAACAACGTAGAAGCGAAAACAATAGGCTATCGATATTTCCGCTTTCGAAGCTATGGTAAAGAATCGATGATTTAAGAAAGCCTCGATTGTCGATCCTCTCCCGTAAGTCAGTGGCGTGGCGTGAAAAATCGATTATCGATACGTCGCCATTTGAAGCTACGGTAAAGAATCGATTACTAAGGTGTTCGCTGCAAACATCCTGATAATCTATCCTTTTTCATAGGTTTAAATGGCATCACAATCGATAAATCGCAATTCACGCCACGCCACTGCCTTAAGTTTAAACGTCAGATCAATCGATTCATCGCAAAGCACGAGAAGGCACTTTTGGTGAAAAGCGTCTTGTGACCGGCTTTTCCGACCGGAACTGGATCCGAGCCGGGGGGTCGGTCGGGGGTTCGAGAGGTGCTCGAAAACTCCCTTGCCCGAGATCCGTCGGACCCTCGAGAGGGAAATGGGTCAATTTCGCGATTCGCCGAGTTATGTTCAGGTGATCGGTGCTAATCGATGGGCCAAGGATAACAGTGGTGCGAAAGCCGTATATCTACGCTCAAATTAACAGAAATCTGTAGCTGGCGCACTGAAAAAAAAATTCTCGGCATTTTTACCAAGGTCCGTTGGTACCTTTACCATCTCACTTTTTTTTTTACAAATTATTGGTAATTTTACCAAGACAGACTAGTAAGCTTACCTAAAAACCGGTATTTTTACTGTTTTTTTCAGGTAAGAATACCACTTTTATTGGTACTCAATTCCTGGTAACTTTGCCATTTTATCTCGGTAATTCTACCACATGTCGATAACAAATATTGGCGTTTTTACCGAGATTTCTCAGTAAAATTACCAATTCCATAAATGGTAATTTTACCAAGAAAAACTGGGATCAAATAGAACCCTGAATTCTTGGTTATTTTACCCTTTTCTTAGTAAATACACCGAGATTTTTTTTTTTTAGTGCGACTGGATATCATTGTTTCCCAGACGAAGGAACGTAACCTCAATCTACGGTTACAAAACTGGCCATTTTAATTTTATTGACGAATATAACTGAGCAATGGAGCTTTTGCATGTGTCAATAAATTGCAATTTGAGCACTGATTCCTGTGTAAAATTTCACGAGAAACAAGATGGTGCCTCTGGTTTTCTCTAAAAGAAACCCCAAAACTCAAAAAAAGCTCTCAAAGTTAAAGTCGTAATGGAGGGGATATCCCACGCTATCCTGAGAGTCAATTTCTGTATCAAGTCAAACCATCCAAGCAAAGATAGGAGGCAAATACAGTACAAGAAAAGGGTTGCTACTTTGTTTGGGGACTCCATGACTGAAAATACGGCAATCGTGCTAATGCATTTGCTCCATTTGCTCCCTATCTTTGCATGGAGTTTAACTTGATATACAGATGGACTTTCAGGGTAGCGTGGGATATCCTCTCCATTTTGGCTTCAACTTTGAGAAGTTCTATTTATTTTTACACAAGGAAGATTACTCAAATCGCAAATCTCTCACCCACGCAAGAGCTCAATTTCTGTCCAAAATTTTACCAATTTTTGCGTGAAATTAGAAGAAAACTCAGCGAAATTTTCAGATAGCAAGGCTCAATAATTTCTCTAAAACAATTTCGGCTCTGGTTGGAAGTAGTGTCCCTTTATAGAGAGAGTTAAGACAACACGGCTCATGGATGTCACAAACGGGAATGAAGGTTACACAGATAGAACGTTTTTCGCGATCTTTCATCAACTCATTCCCGAATTCCTGTCTTTGTTTCTTCTCTCATTCCGTTTGTTCTTTGCCGTACCCCCAATTCCCCGGTCCATTCCGGTTTATAACCTTTGCAATCGGTGAAAATGTAACCTTCAATCCCGTTCATGACACCGCGAAGGCCTAAAATACGGGAACCAATCAGAAATGGAATCGTATGGTCTTTACTCTCAATATAAAAGGACTCTAGTTGGAAGGAGAAACGGCGAAAGAGAAGCTAGCTTACCTGAGTGGTAGCGGGTTTCGTTTCTGGTGAGTCGGCGGTTGCCTTTTCGGCGGGCCCTTGAGGCGGGGCTCGAGTGGGTGTGTGGGTGTGAGGGGGGCGGCATCCCTGGGGAGCCCTGGACGCCCTGACCACCAGGCGGGGCACCTCCTGGTCCCTGGCCCCGGGCTAAGCATGCAACCAACATACAAACAACGGATAACATTCACCATTCCACCGGCACAAGGCAAACGCACAGAAAACGTGCAAAATCATACAAGAAAATAAAAGTAAAAATTGGCCACATAAATTATTATCAAAGCGACGAGAGTCCACAGTTCATGCAACCTTTCGAAAGGAACATAAAGATTAGTAAAGGGCGTTTGCAGAGATTTCTTAAGTGGATCTCCGAGGACAATATTGAGACTTATTTATACAGCCCTCCCAAAAAGTACTTTCAATTTGAGGGCGAAACCGTGGGTGGCGTATACACAAAAACTCACTTAGGTATTTGCCACAGAGTACGTACAGTCGTAATGCAAACGAGCGAGCTGGCACCATGTTCTGCTCGACGAGTTCCGAGCCCGGTGTGCGCCGAGCTTTGGTCACTTTTTCGATACATGCTCGATCCAAAATGGCGGTGTGGAATACGTGGTAATTCCTATCTTCTTTGTTCACATCAGATGGCCGGGTACCCGTGTAATCGAAAACAATCGATCATGTATCGGAAAAGTGACCCAGCGCGGCTCACACTGCGAGGTCTCGGAATTCGGGACCTGGAAAATGCTTAAAAGTGACTCCAGCTCTCCCACATACTTACGACTCTACGTACTCTATGGTACTTGCTATTTGATGATAAAAAACAATTGGTCAATGGTACTTGTAAACTAAGGCCCAATCTTAAACCATTGAACATTTTGGGAAGAGAGAGACAGGCTGCGGGGACATCGGGCTGCACAGAATTTTATCATCCTTGTCAGGTGAAAATTTCTGGGCTGAAGACAGCATTTGTTAAATATTGAGCCGTTGTTCGTACAAAAGATATCGCAATACGAAAAATTACTTATTTAAGCAAAGAATGCATAGGGATCAAATCTGAGAACATTTTAGGCTTTCGATGATAAAAAATGAATCTTTAAATTAAGGAATTCAAAAGGCTGCATGAAACTTGTGGAGATAGTGACAAATAATGGGTTAAAATTAATGCTAGGCGTGCTACCGCTTTTTACAGGGTGATTTTTACGAGGTTTTCTTTTCAATTTTTGATGAATAGGCTAACTCTGTGATAAAAATCGCACTAATGTGTGCGGCGTATCCTATTCCTGGAGAGAAAAAGATCCAGGCCGTGTACTAAGTGCGGGTAAAAACAAAATGATCAAGTCAACTATACTTAGTACGCAGATACCTAGAATCTACAGGATACTCTATACGAATAACTATGATTTTGACCATGGTTATTTTGCTTTGGAAAGTACCATTTTTGGGTTATTTTAGGGGTAAATTTGGTTATTCTGAGGATTATTCTTGTAAAACCAATATAATTGCAGGGATTTTGAAACTGCTCGAAACATTGGATGACCAAATATTCATGAAAAAAATGCGTGATTATAATGAGTGACATGTTAGGTGGCTATATGAATTGTTATTGAGATTATTTCCCAGATTAATTCCCTCTGTGAGGAGCCGTATGTGCAGAATGCAAAACATGCTCAGTATACCTACTTAATTCGCCAACCAACATCTGAGAAAAAAATGATGAATACGGACTTCCAAAACTTAAAAAAAATTCTTACGCGAAGGCGAGGCGTAAATGATCGATTATCGATATTTCCTCATTTAAAGCTATGGTACAAAATCGATTATTGAGGTGTTCGTTGCGAACTCCCTGTTTATCGATTCTTATATCCGTAGATTTAAATGGCGAATCAATCAATAAATCACAAAGCACGCCACGCCACTAGTGTTTCGTGTAAAATGCAATTGGAATCCAATTGCAGTTGAACCAAAAATATGCCATGATATTCCTGGGTTTCCAGGTAAAGCTGTACACCCTGCACAGGAATCGATTATTGTTCAGTGTGGGTTAGGTTGGTTCGGATCCGAACGGTTCGGTTCTCGCCACCAGAATGTTCCTCTCCACGTGCGCGCGGCAGTAGCAAGTTTGAAAGTTGGCGACGCCGTTTTTCCTCGATTTGAATCCATTGAAAATATCGATTCTAGGTGCCTCACAAAGAATCGATTGTTTTACACACACTTAAACGGAGGAAAAACAGTGTTGCCAACTTTCAAGAATCGCCACTGGAGCGGCAACGTCGCCGAAATTACAGCTCTGAGCCAGCACACAGTGGATCGAGTCAATGGGAGAGGTCGGACACAATTCGAAACTTTAAACGCTTATAACTCCGTAAATACAACAATTTTAGGTTTTAAAAGTGGTTCCATTGGTTTCTCCGTGAAATTTTCCTGCAGAGACACCTCTTAAAATATAAAATGTGACGAAATTAACATCAAAGCTTGTGGATTTAGTCAAAAGTGTCCATGTCCGACCCCTCTAATGGAGATGTTGCATGTGTGAGGGATTTGCGATTTGACTGTTGATTCTTATGTAAAAGTTCGCGAGAAACACGATGGTGCCACTGGTTTTTTCTGAAATCAACTCCCAAGCTCAAAAAAGCTCCCAAGTTGAGGCCAAAATGGAGGGGATATCCCACCCTACCCTGAGAGTCCACCTCTACATCAAAACCAACTCTCCATGCAAAGATAGGGAGCAAATACATCAGCAGGGCTGCCACCTTATTTGGGGACTCTGAAACTGAAATCATGGCGATCCTGTCAATGTATTTGTTCCCTATCTTTGCATGGAGAGTTTATCTTTATGTAGACGTGGAATCCCAGGATAGCGTGGGATATCCCCTCCATCTTGGCCTTAACTTGAGAGTTTTTCTTGAGCTTGGGAGTTGATTTCAGAGAAAACCAGTGGCACCATCGTCTTTCTCGCGAACTTTTACATAAGAATCTACAATCAAATCGCAAACTCCTCACACATGCAACACCTCCATTGACTCGATCCACTGTGCAGTGACCGGGAGCGATAAGAGGGGACATACGTTAAAGTCGAAATTTCACGTGGAATAATTTATGAAGAATCCCGGCCGTCCCATTCCGGGTCCCGCTCGGAGCGGATATTGTTACGCTAACACGTGGGGACGCCGGGACGGAGGAATTGCCCGAGAAAAGTGTTGCACGTCAGCTCGTAATTTAAAATTAGACGGCGGCCGCCTCAGACGACGACGCGCGACGACGAAAGAAATACGCTCAAGACCCGCGTAATTTTAAAACATCCTCTTTATGAAATTCCTCGCCGGAGATTTAGGGCGCTGGGGCGGGACAGGGCGGGGCGGGGAGGAGATGAAATTTTCAAATTCCCGCCAGCCAACGAAACGATGCGACGAGGAAGGCGCGTTCTTCGACGTGGTTCTTGAACGCCCGTCCGCCCGCCGGACCACGGCTCGCTTCGGTGATAAGAGGGACGTCGGGATGACGTCATAAATCGAAGGCGAGGGTAAAACAACTATTATCACGATCGCGACGTCTCAAAATTGCGTAAATACGTCCAATTTGTTACTTTTTTTTTTTTTTTTTTTTTTTTTAAATATAATTATAGTATTCTGCACAAAATAAAGAAAATTGGGGGAAATTCAAAAATATTTTACTTATTTCCAGGGATTTATAATGTTCGCATGGGTTATGTTGCAAAACAATGGGCATGTATAGTGTATCTTTAAGGTGGGAAATAATCGTTCCTTGGTGGATTTGAGTCCGATTTGTAGTAATATAAACAAAGATACTTATCGACGGTGTAAGTCGGCAATCACATAACACGGTTTGCGACGTTGCAGACTTCCTGTCATGCTTAATTTTGAAAATGGAAAACTTCTCAACGGCAATTCTTTAAAACTGACGTGATTTTTCTTCTCTGTGCGAAGAAAATTCTGCAAAAACTTCAAGGAGTAATCTCCATTTGTTCTCCTAAAAAAATAACATAGTGGCGGAGATCTTCGGACACCGCAAACGAGATATACGATTACGAACTTACGCCGTCGCGTCGTTATGCGAACAATTGCTCCTGCAGAGGCAAAACAAATGTGAATCTTTGAATCCAATTGAGTATGGCTGAGGCGCTTCATCGAAGTGTTAAAATTTCGATACCAGGTTTGGATTTTTAGCATTATCAGGGCTCTTAAAATTCAAAAAGTCATTCTATTGGTACAATCAAACAAATTAATAATGACGCATCTTTGATATGTTTACTTGTCAGGCAGGTCAATTGCGTCTCACGCATTCGTTATTAGTCTGAATGATTCGCACGGTAGCAAGAGGTGTGTCCGTATTTTGTTAATAAAGTTTTTTAGCGCCTGTCTGAAAAGTGACGGAGCATCTTGGATCGCACTCGCATGAGACTGCGTGACAGGCAAATATCAATTACTCAATGCGTGCCGATGAATTCCCATCGAATGAGTTGCCAAAGTTTATGACCTTTTAAGTGTATTTTTTTCTTATTCAAATAGATAAAACCTACATTTGATGAAGCAGAGAAAGAAGAAGTCCTAAACGGTGGCGAAGTTGAGCTTTCGGGGAGTGCCACTTGATATTCAAGGTGGAGCACAGTTACTGCGCAGAAATTTCAGAAACACGATGAGAAAAAGTTCTCTTAGTCTGTTGTTCAAAAATAGAGGTAAAAAACTACAAACGGGCGCTATTTGTCCCTCAGCTATGTTTTGACGAGCAGTTGACTCCTTCCGTATCGCAATGCGATCATAAATTCTGGGAGTGAAGTAACCTAAAGAGGATTTTAAGACTTCAAATCTTGAGCTTTTTTTAATACTTCTTAATTTCCCGAACCCGAAAAAACATGACAAAGAAGTCAACCCCTCCTCATAGCATCATCACATCTTATATCGTTCAATAAAGTTTGATTTGAACAACACCATATTTAATTTTAGTTTTGAAGTATAACCAAGGTGATGTAATGAAACATTACATCATGTTTCATTACATCACCTTGGTTATACTTCAAAACTAAAATTATATCGTTCAGATGCTGATTTTCAGACTTCCCGCTGTGTGATTCAATTTTCCTCGTGAAATTTTAAAAAAGAGTCATTTTAATTCATACTTTATCTCACACT